TAAGAGACAGGTGTAATAGTATCTATTTAGTGACTTTTGAGACTATAAAGAGGTGAGGTTTAGGTATTCAAAAGAACACAAAAATATTTAAAACGTTAACTTTCTAAATCCTATAGATTTAACTACGAAAATATATTTGACTTGCTATACATTCATATGTAATACAACATCAATTAACAGTAAGGCAAACACCTCAGCAAGATTTTCATTCTTTATTTGGATTAAATAGAGGTCTGCTAAAAATGAGATTTTACTCTTGTTCGCCTTATGAAAGTGTACACCATTGAGCTGTAAATCTTGTAATTAGGAAAAGTCAATGGAAGTCAAAGCAATTAGAAAAGAGGTTAGCAGAAAAACAGAATCCACCTGAGTCTTCAGCATCAAAAGCGTATTCTAATAGGTAGGACTCAAAAATAACCAGTATTTCAATATCTTTTCTTTCCTTTTACACAAATATACAGTAATACCACTTTTTGTTAAAACTTACGATGATGAATAGACAAAGTACAAAAGGGATGTAATTCAAGAAAGGTAAGATAATACATAGCACAAAACCTAAAGAAAATTTGTAAAATTTAAAGGAAGTTACCACATAAGAAGTCTCTTTTACAGCCTATGAATTTTACGAGTTGTCTCACACTCAAGAGTTAAGGACATAAAATGAAATAACAAATTACATGGACCAGTCAATACTATTCAAAGAGTTCTACAACTTAATTTCAATAAAAACTGTCACAGTCACCTATTGCAATGTCTAATCATTCCTAAATAAAAAAAGCAAAGTGGCAAATGGACCCTACTTCTTTTTTTTTTTTTTTATTAAATAAAGTTATTAGGAGTTTCAGAAAACCACTATTATCAGAAGCATGAGTCACAAATAATAGGATGTTAACAGCTGCACATACTCAAATTACTAATCCTACTACTGAGAATGAAGAAATATCCAAAGCATATTAAAAAAACTAACTTTCTCAATGGTGATAATTGAAGTTGATACCACTAGTTGAGGGAATACTTACAGAGACTAGAGAAAGTTGGTACTTCAATTGTTTTATCCTGTCCTGACAAGGTCTTGGTGTATCATATGCAAATAGACACATTTGTCGAATATTAGATCTCAGCAACAAAACTACATACAGCTAACAGAAGCTTCAGCATCTTTGCTAAAGAACTCTCAATGTACTAATGGCTAATTAATTCAAACCATGATTCTCTAACTTACATGTTAACATTCCCACATGAATGGGGACAATGTTTTCCAACTCTGAAGTCAGAAAACCCACTTCTCAATACTGCTGCCCACTCTGTAATGCCATCATTAGTGTCTTTTTTTTTTTTGGTGGATAGTGAAAGCAATTCTTGTAGAGCACAATGAGAACTGTCGTTATTTAACCCTTTACACTGTCCCTTGAGTTAGGTATTTGCTAGCACATTAATAGGAAGGAAAGACCACAGAACTTAACGGAGCAGACTGCTAAAAAGGCAACGTGATGTTACAAGTATATGAAGCATAAGCTGTAATTTGGTAATTACCAGATTCAATGCTTACATGCTCAGTTGACACCTCAGCAGACATAAGTGAATTTCAACTGAAAGATTTTCTAAAACTTCTTAAGTTATTAAACACGAGTGAATGAAATAAAACTTACTGGAGTGTCAGTGGCACTTGACTGGAGTCACTAAATCACTCTTCAATTACAAAACTCTAAGCCTTTCTCAATGATAAAAAGTATTTTAGGATTTTAGGTTACATAAAAAATACCAAGTGTACTTGATGATTATAGAATCTATGCCACTATGAAGTGCCTCTATACACAGTGGAATGGTTACAATATGAAATTTCAAAGTAAATGTAAGTGGAAGAGGAGGAAAAAGACATTGACTTACTTTCTCTGTAGTTACAGTAAGAGATGGAACCAAGGATGGTGAGGACTCCGACTGCTTCTTATATTTTTGCTTGTGTTTATCTTTCTCTTTATATTTCTAGAAGTTATAAAAGAGAATATAACCTAAGTTCAGCTTTATCTTTAACATAGCCCATTTTATATAGCATCAAGCATTATCAAAATTTGAGACAGCAATAATATACTGTGCTATTTTAATGGAAATAACATTTGTGTTTTGAAACTTTTAAATAGAATTTTATAAAAGCAACTCAAGTATTTATATTGCCTTTCAAAGTACACAAATTGGAATTCTTCAACTATAGCCAGCATTTATTAATCCACTGTTGTTAATATTATTCATCTTCCCAATAACCAATTAAGCAACAAAAGAAACTGGATTAAAAACAGAGACATGGCTTCCACTTCAGAGGTGGTCCTGCATTTCTCCCAAAAGGATTTCTATCTTCCTGCATGTCTGCACCTGCACAGTAATTTTTGTTGGGATAATACTATAAATTAATGCAAGGTTGTACCTTTGGCTACCCTACTGACATCTGCATACATAAGAATATGAAATTCGATTTAGATTTCATTCCAAAAAAAGTGCATAGTTTAAGTACTAAATAAGTATCTTCCATGTTAAACTGAACAAAATACCAAAACTATACAAATCAAGTGTGCTTTCTAAAGAGGCTAAGAATTTATGTTTATGTTAAACACAACATGAAGCACTGACAGTGTGAATGAAATTATATAAACAGAGATAAAATCATTTTATTAACCAGAGCCTTTAGAGTGTAACAGAAGTCTTCCATACTGGTAGAAATCAATTCTCAGAGGATTACTGAATCAGACCCAAATTGTATTTGTTTAAATAATTCAAGAGAAATTTAGAAAAGAAAAAAAGAAAAAACTAGTCTGACAAAACGAACAATTCAACTTAGAATACAGGAGGAGTTCAGTATTTTTACAAATTTAATCAAAAACAAGTCTAGATGGTCACTTCTTCCTTAGCATCATAACATGGTTTATCTAGACAGCCAAGGTCAGCAGATGCAGAGAAACTGCAGGTGTGAGAGAAGTTATTTTTAAGCTACTGGTACTAAAGTATTTTGCTTCTTTAAGTATATATTTGTGGATTTTTTGTGTAATCACACAAAACTCAGTAGAAGTGTATAATCCATGGCTATTTTTTTCAGAATGAGTGCTTCAAGAGAAAGCTACCAGAATAATGCATACATATGGATTGACACAAGGGGTTTAAAACTCCCACTGAGTAGTTTGAAAAGATGAGGAAGGCAACTTAAACCACATTAAGTCTGAACAGCCATATGAAAACTCAGTAACTGTTTTGAATCTTAAAAATTATCCATACTGGTCTTCCTCTATCAAAATTATTATCCAGACCCTCAAAAGAAAACATAATTTATTCAGCAGCAAGTGCACAACCACTCTCGCCAAGCACCAGAATGAAATGTAGTACGTGCATTATCTATTCAGGTATCACCAAGCATCAGCTTCCTATTTCAGTCCCAATGGAAGAAATATCAGACACTTATTTCATGGAATCAGCTTGAGAGAATAAGAGAATGGGTTCTCAAAATATCTAATAAAGTAGAATCAGTTCATTGACAATCTAACTGCAAAGATGAAAGCAAAACAAATTTATCTCTACCTTTGTGAACTACAAATACCAGCTGAATGTCTTAGAGATCACCTTGTTGCTAACCAGCCCCAAATCCTTTTAACTAAACTTATAACCTAATTTTATCAGGAAGAAAATGCAGTTTAGACAAGAAATTCATAAATACAGTACCAAAGTTATCTTCACCAAAATATCATGTAAAAATATACTTGCTAGAATACATATGTAAAGTCCCTTTGATTCTTGCACACTTCTTAAAACTCAAAGGAAGGTCCAAGGGAATTCTTTAAAAGGCTGATGGGGGATTTCTAGGTTTGGTTTTTTTCATACACTGAAGTGATCTTGGCTTTTTTATCCAGTGTGCTGTTTTCATAACAGAGCATGCGAGTGTCATAATTACAATATATATCATAAGGCAGGATTTCAATTGTTTAAAACCCTAATATAGACTTGTTGAGATCAGGAAGAATGTTGGGGATGGGGGGTGGGGGTGTTTTGGGTTTTTTTTTTTAGGAGTGATTGTTTGTTTTGGTCTTTTTAGACCTGCAAAATACACATGTGAAAGAAAAAAAAAAATATATGTGGACAGGATGGATTCAAGTGCACTGCATAGTCTTTTCAATAATTTCTTAAATGCAACAGTCTCAAAAGTGCTACTCATACTGACAGAAAACAAGCAGGGATCAAGAGAAAACAGAAGCATCTACACCAAGACTGCTGTGTTATCCATCAAATCTGTTAATCCAAAAGCCTTTCATCAGTGTCAGTTACCCAGTTTACTGTATCATCAGTGTACATGTTTAGATAAACTTAAGTAACAAGTTCAGTTAACCCCAAACAAGCCCCAAGAAGGAGGTTATGAAATGGAAATCTAAGCGACTGCCTGAGTTTCTTTAGCTTTCATCATTTCACTAAGAAATTCAGATCACCCTGAAGAAATTTTTTTATTTATAATTTTGGAGCCAATTACTTCAATATGCTTTAAGATGAAACTCCACACCAATATCAGTAAACAGTAGGAAACACTTAAATGAACTCATTTATAATCTCTTCTGTTGCCTTTTAGTGTTCTTTTACTTCCAGTGTTAATTTTGTCTGAAAAGCAAAGAAACATAGAATTTCAATCAAAGAACAGTCAGGAGGACTTCAAATCACATTCTGTAATGTACTGAAATCACTTTGATAATAGTCTCAACAGAAAAGGATGTGTCAAGAAGAAGAAAATAGGGATACAAGAACAGGGGAAAGGGAGAGGGCATAAATGACCAAGAGCCTGGAAAGAATATGCTTTAAATTCTGTAAAGTGAAACATCAGCAAACATCAAATTCCTCTCCCCGATCCAAAACATCAACACAGAGTTTGCCAGGACAGCTTACCAAGGTTACAGCTTACCACTCAAGGCCACTGGGGGTGTACCCACCCAAAGGCCTTTTGCTTTACAAAGATCTCATCCACAGGAGGTCTGCTGTCCTTGACTTACATTCCCTCCTCCTTTTAGGTTATACCTCCTTTAACAATCTCTCCTCTTTCTTTTTTTCTTTTTTCTTCCTAAGGAAAGTTCAGAAGTCCTACTTCTGAATGTGAATTGACTCCAGATGCAAATAACATCAAAAAATTTGAGAACATTTCACTGCAGGAAAACCTTTGAAAAGAATGTCCAGGTTTCACACCAATAAGAATAAGAATTTCAGCAACAACCTGCTGAGATGAAGAGACTTAGCTCCCACAAAGTGACTCCTTGCAGTTGCACCCTCTTCTTCTCACCATAAAGATGCATACAAATCATAATAAGAGTACTGAAATACTTTTGGATCCAGAAAAGGAATAACAGGGACATGAATTCCCACAATATTTATCAAATATGACAGCTTTCAATCAGGTCTGTATCAAAGGACACACAAATTAGCCCTCTTCCCTACTACCAGAAAAACAAGAAACAGTTGTCCCTTCACAGACAGCTCACTGCACACTTCACTTTTGTAAGACAAAAAACCCAAACAGTTTGGTGTTTTGTCTTACAAATGGTGTTTTGTCTTACAAACCCAAATAGCTGATCAGCCACAGCTCAAAAAAAATGCCAAACAAAAAACCCAAACAAACAACTCATAACAGTAGCTCATTAAGATAAACAGCCATTCAGAAAGCCCCATGAAAACCCATCATTCTAGGGAAGGTAATGATATCAAATGTCAGGCCTTTTACAAGCTGTACAGTACGGAAAAAAAGGGCAGAAATTACTCTTACAAGTACCGAAAAACAGTATTGCTAGTAAGTGAAAGCTAAGGGAGCCCTGAGGGCAGGCAGAACCCATGTATCCCATCTATATACTCAGATTTACATTTTTTAAAGATTCATAGGCATGAGTTCAAATGTTCCAAACACCTGTATTTTAAGATAGTTATAGAGCTGATACACAGTGCTACGTTCTGTAAAAACAGGATTTAGCAGAAGAAACATTCCAAGGAAGAACATGTTAAAAAATAAAGAGCAAACTACAAAATTGTAAACCAAGATTGAAGTTTCTTTAGTCAAACAGGGTATAGCTCAACAGCCCAGATTCAGGCAGTTCCTGAAACCTTTCTTACTGTAAGAAAAACAGGGCTCAATTGCCATGCAGTCATTGGGTAAGCAGCTGCAACATTATTCATCCCAGAACTTGAAGAGTCCTGATTTATGATGTAGCTAAATACCAATACAAAATACCTAGAGTTCATATGTCATGATTAATCAAAAAGCTTTATTTATCATTAGGTAATCTCATTTCTAGCCTTTGTTTCTTATCTTAAAAAAATTATGTAATACCTTCTTAATTCCAATAGTGACATGCTGCAAGATAAAAAAATTACAGTGATTTCCGGAATTCTATAGCACATTCTGTACCTTGCCCTCTTGTGGGGCAGGGGATAGGGGGGTGGAGAAGGGGAAAAAAGCACATTTTGATTGCTCCTACTTCTTCCATAAAGACTCAATCTACAAAATTATTACGTAATACAATTTCACAAATCCAGTTTGGTTCCAACTCTTCAGGGTTTTAGCTCATTTAGATGTTGGATCGCTCTAAAAAAATCAGTACTTGCTCATTCATTTTCTTTAATGTACTTTTAGAGGAAACAAGTCATCAGATCACTGAATGAAAATATCATCTCATCAAAATATCAAATTAAGGATATAGGTATAATTTTATCTTAGCTCTGGTCTGTTACCACAGTACAAATGTTTCAAATCTATCTTTCCACAGTTGGGACCTCAATGTCTGGGAAGACTGAATAATGCAAGTGATAACTTTTCCAGTAGAGATGGAATGGATGAGCAGCTTTTCTCTAATGGCAGTATTAATTCATAACATTTCCACATGGAAGTATTACTTAACTTGTTGAAGGTATTTACAATTATTTGCAACTCATTTTTGTTTCTGGAATGCACACGCTTCTCCAAAGATGTTTCCACAGTA